TGTGTGTGTGCACTTTGGATGGGTTAAATGCAGAGCACTAATTCTGAGTATGGGTCACCATACTTGGCCACATGTCACGTCACTAAGTCACTATCTCCTATTTTCCTAACGTATTGTACCCTTAACTGAGTTAAAAATGGAAATTATGCATGGAAATGACATGCAGATGAGGTTATGCATAGTGAAACTAGACGTTGTAAGCTCCATATATGGTGATTTTTGGGGAGGAGATGCATGCATGCCCAATCTTCCGCTGACAAGGATTTAAAAAAAGATTTTTGTGCAGGTTCTGGTGTACCAAATCTAGCTTTTGTGCGTACGTACACTTTTAGGATGACATCTACGGAAAGTTTTATACATGAGGCCCCTGGCCTTAATTTTAAAATCTATCATGAAAAGTGCTGGAAATTACCTTTAAGAGTAAAATAAATTAAAACTAAAATTCAGTGACTAACCCTTCAGTTATTAATCTGGTATGATCTGTTCTAATGAAGGTAACTCTAGTTCTCACTTTTTAATAATATCTCTAGACCCCCATGTTAATAATATATCTAGACTCCCATGTTCCCTACCCCCTCATCTGTACTCATCAGCCTTTTGTAACTCTTTGATGTCCTTTTTTAATGAGAAAATACATAATCCACCAGCCTCTAGGTTCAAACTCCTCCTCCAGCACTCCCTGTGAATTCTGCCCAGTATTTTACTTATTTTCTGCTTTTCAGTTTCCCACTGCCACAGATATTTCAGTTCTCATTCATAAGTCAAAGTCTTCCACTTCGCTGGACCCTCTTCCCACTGTTTTGATTAAAGCTTGCCTCCCCTCTCTGCTTCCCCTAATTTCTGCTATCATTTGCTCTTCACTCACCACTGGAATTGTTCCCAACTTCTTTAAAACTGCAGCCAATATTGAAAAAAATCTGGTGACTATCCTAATAATTTAAATCTCCGTCCCATCTCTAATCTACCCTTCCTTTCCAAAGTTCTTGAAAAAATCGTTGCTACTCTGCTTCACTTTCATTTAACTTGTAACAACCTGTACGAACCATTTCTCACACTATCCTTCTCAATAGACTCATCTCTATTGGCATCACTCACACTCCTTTTAGATTGGTTTAAATCTTATCTTCAGGGTGCACTCAGTTCGTCCAGTTACAATCTTTTAGTTCCTAACCTTCCCCTGTTAACACTGGTGTGCCTCAGGGCCCTATCCTGGGACCACTTCTTTTCATCATTCACCTTTTTCCTCTGGGCAATATTTTTCTTAAAGGAGTCCGATTATGCTTTTTCACTTTCAACTTTAGTTAGTCTGTAATGTTGCTGTTTGAGCATAAAAAAAGATCTGCAAAGTTACAAAGTTTAATGTCCACTTCAAAAGGAGATATATTATTTAACAGAAATCACTTTTC